TTTTTCGCGTTTCACTTCCCAGGTTAAGCTGTTTTTGTAGCAAAAGAAAACCTTAAATTTTCGGAATCAAAAAAGTGATGGAGAGAGGAATCAGAAAAATTCTTACTTTCGTAAAGCTTTAAACTGCATCTAAAATTTTCAGGAAAATGTAAATATTGAAGCCCTTGTAGTTTTCCAAGAGACTCAGTTTGCTCTAGGATGACCGAACAGATACGAATTTTATCGCGGAGCTAAAAGGAATGAGCGGTAGTGGAAAAAGTGAACAAGGACATGTACATTTCCTCCATAAAAAGTGAAAACCAGGAAGTTTCTGGACGTTTCACGTTGTAGTCATGCAAAAAAACGGCAAGGAAATGTACAAAAAAGTGTGCTGCATGCAATTAGACCTATTGCCTATTGTTGTATTTCACAGTTCTCGTTGCCTTCGCCGCTTAGCATTACACGATATTATATTTTAGTATGAACAAACTATAAATATTATCTATGTATTAGCGCCACTCAGAATGCATTTTTAGATATCTTAATTACTCTGGACAGCCTTAAAAGTATTTTAAATGCATTTATGAAGAAATCGTCGTTGGAGGCCCCTGAGTTTTGAAAATAATAATAATCATAACCAAAAAAAAAAATATCGCGCACGTAACTTTTTCCCTTGCCATAGCTTCCATTCAGCTGCATAGCCGAGGCTAGATTTTGCCTTTTTCCTAGGCGGCAAATTGTCGTCCTCCCTTGCCACTTTGGACAACATATTGTCGGTGGAAAGAACTGTTTATTTCATTACTTTAAGCAAATAGGTCCAGTAGAGACAAGAACCTATGCAAGCGGCTGGACAAACAATGTGAACGTTAGAAGAATTCGAAAACCAGGGCCGCCCTCTGGAAAACTTACGGACGGTCGCGCGATCGCGATCGCGCGACCGTCTGGTCAAATCTAACGCAGCGGACCCTCGCTCAGTGTTGATTGACCTAGAAGCAATAGTACCATCCCTCCCATAGCAAGTGTTGCATTGTCGCGCGGACGCGGTCGCTAATCTTGAATATTCACGTCGGGTATTAAACCTGGTAGTTTGCGGTCATATCTAAGCTTAGAGGTCAACAGTGTTTGTTGATGAGCGAGCGATTATTGTGCAGTTGCGATGGGTTTTGTGGAGCAAGCGAGCAAGGAACTGGAGCACACGTTACCGGCAGATTAGCCAATGGCAATTTGGAGCGGATTCGTCGATTATTCTCGAATTCATAGCGCTTCGCGTGAAGGCGCGTGGAGATGGTCCGTTTGTTTTGTAGCCAGCCTTTAATTCTTCTTTAGTGGATAGTACCTACAATTGCAAAACTCAACAAAATGCCACTTTAACCAGCCAGGAAAGACAAGGAGACGTTCAGTTAAAGGTATCTTAGATTCTTTTGCTATATTTTGATTTTTGGACTATTTAGTTCATGGGAGTTTGAACGACTCATCTCATTTTGTCCATGTGAATATTAATTAATATATTGACACACTCTACATCTGGGCCGCCTGTGTTATCATTACATTATTATTGTAATGAAATCGGGAGCACCGCTTTTAGGCTTGGCTAAATATATATAGCCCACTTCGGAAAAGAGTGATAGCCTGGGTCCCGAACTAGGCGCGCGCGCACTTATGGGATTATTTGGGGGACGTGAATGTAAACAAACATTGCGGAAAGCGGAGTGGAATGTTTAAGAAGAGTTAAAACAGCTCAAAATAGCAAAAAGGAAGGTTTAATTGAAAGAAAAAAAACATGAAAATGTGAAGCTGAAGGAAGATGTGCCTGGGAGATTTTACTTCGAGAAAAACTAGAAGAATGCAAAGTGTGCTATCGGAGTTCAACTTCAAATTGGCTTTCCGAAACAAATGTACATATTCTCGTTGGATACGTCTTGTCTTTGGTATTCTATAATATGCCAGACCAGGGGAGTTCCTGAAGTTATTTATGCACAAAGGTACACATCAGCTTGCATGCCTCGTCATAATACAAAGTGGCTGCTCAATTTGTCCACCCAAACAGTCCCATAAATGCACGCGCGCTTAGTTTGGGTCCCAGGCTATCACTCTTTTCCAAAGTGGGCTATTATATGTTCGTACATGGTCTAAAAGACACAGCCGCATTGCGTGACAAAACTATTTCGTAATTATTCAAATGATTTTCTTACTGGCAACAGATAAAGTCGGCTACGTCAAAGCGAAAAAAAAAAATGACAAGAAGGGTTGTTGTTAACTTGGAACCCAATAACCTGCTCTTGAGCAGCGTTCCCTCCCGTGCAAAGTTCTCAGGCACAATGCACTCTGTCCAAACAAGTGAATATGAATACGTTCAGGTCGTCGGAAAACTTGCCCAATGTCCGTCAAAAATTTGCCCAATGTCTGCGCAACCGCTATCATTAGTTGAACCACTGCTATAACATGGTAGCTGCGCTAAAAAAACTGAATGCCGGGAGGTATCCAGAAGATTCCGAAAGAGGGTTCCGAAGCCCAAGGGTTAAGACGAACACCCAACCAGGCGACCGCCCCACCCTCAACCACCCCCCCGCATAGTCAAAAATTTAGTTCTATGAGGACACTGTTTATTGATCAGCTCTAGCTATATAGCTTCTTTATTCAAAAATTCCAAAATTAAGCCTGTAGATGACAGATTACGAAAAATAAAACAAAAATAGTGGAGAAAAAAAGGGAGGCGACGACACCCTCGGCCCCACCCCAAAATCCACCCATGGAATGTGACGGTCAGTTGACGAAAGAGGGTTCCGGTCTGATACGACTTGAGACGACAGTGTACAACTGCCTGTTACGCGCTATTACGACCTGTTACGGTGTGTAACGGCCGGTTACTACTTGTGACAGTCTTTTATGGCTTGTGATGGTCTGTTGCAGTGTGTTACGGCACGTTGCAACTTGTGACGGTCTGTTACGGCTTGTGATGGTGTGTGACGGCTTGTGACGGTCTGTTACGGCTTGTGACGACTTGTGGCGGTCTGTTACGGCTTGTTACGGTGTGTAAATGCTTGTAACGGTCTGTAACGGTGTGTAACGGCCAGTTACTACATGTGACGGGCTATTACGGCTTGTGATGGTGTGTGATGGATTGTGACGGTCTGTTACGCCTTATGACGACTTGTTGCGGTCTGTTACGGCTTGTTACGGTGTCTAACGGCTTGTGACGGTGCGTAACGGCTTTTGAAGGTCTGTTACCGCTTGTGACGACTTGTGGCGGTCTGTTATGGCTTGTTACGGTGCATTAATATTTATTACTTATTATTAAGGCTTGTGACGGTCTGTTACGGTGTGTAAGGGCCAGTTACTACTTGTGACGAGCTTTTACGGATTGTGATGGTGTGTGACGCTTGTGACGGTCTGTTAGAGCTTCTTACGGTGTGTAACGGTCCGGCTTGTTACGGTGCGTAACGGCCTATGACTGTCTGTTACGGCTTGTTACGGGATGTAACGGCTTGGGACGTTCTGTGACGGTCTGTTAAGGCTTGTGACGGTGTGTGACGGCTTGTTACGGTGCGTAACGGCTTGTCACAGTGCGTAACGGCCCGTGACTGTCTCGTACGGCTTGTAATGACTTGTGACGGCCTGTTACGACCTGTGACGGTACATAACGTCATGTTGCGGTGTGTTACGGCTTGTTATTACCTGTTACTCTGTTACTATAGTGATGTCCTTGTACGGCTGAATACGCGCTGATAGCATGGTGTGGTTGGGTACGAATTGGTGATTTTGACTGCTTAGAGTCATTGTCTCATGTTTGAACTATCTGATTGCGTCGTCTTTCTCTGTTACGAGTTACGTGAAGTAACTTGTAACATTTCTTTTGCTGGTTTGTGCTAAAAATATATCGGGCATAACCCGGTCGATGGCACAATTGTCACTTCCCTCTATAGAAGCTGCGGCCATAAAAGCTGTAAACCAAGAGGATCTTTTTTTCTACTTTATTGCAAAACACGACAATACTTAACACGAAAAAGAAAAAAAAAATACATGTATTACATAACTTACTTACATTACACTGAACACTACTAAATAATGTTAAAAAAAATGAACCTAAAGGTACAATTAGGCGACATAGTGTATATAGTTGTATACAACTAAGATGATCTTGAAAAATGCTGTTTTCTATCAAACAATTGTAATACATAAGGACTCCAACACTAGTTGCAACAAGAGCTGAATGAATATATAATGAGTATATATCGTGACACATTTGCTTAGAAACAAAGATGACTTGTAAGAACCATCAGCACCTATAAAACCCCACTACGCAGACATGTCCAACAGAGCGGCAGAACTTATCTTAAGCTTTGTCGCCAAACCTTGCAACACCCTCTGTATACAACCCACATTATCATTACGGCTTTCTAAAGAAGATCAACTAATTCTACACATCTTAATAGTCAAGAGATTTCCATTCCTTCGTTTAAAAGGGCAAAATGGCTAAAAGGACAGAAATCAGCAAAACTCCAGTGGTAGTTTTCAAGCCAGAAGCACTTGCACCTGCCACACAAACAAACCGATGTAAAGGGGTTAGATTAGAACAGGGATGAAAAACTCGGATATTTCAGATCATACGATGCTACAAATAAATTATGTATAGCTATTTCTGCGGAGTACAACATTTTATTCATTGAATGATAGTCTAATTGTGCTTGCGAAGTTTTTGTTTCTGGAGCAAAGTAAAGGTTGTTCAAAAGACGGTAGAGGGCAAGTAGTCAAAGATAAATGTACACAGAAAAGTCGTCCCACTTTACTACAGTGTCACCTGGGAGAAAGCAGGAATCAAGAGTGGTATCTTTTCCGTTATAACCCCTGCAGACTCACGAGTCACAATTAAACAAAGTTTATAGGCTTCATTTGGAAAGTCAGCTGTATATTTTCCAAACATGCCTGGGCAATTTCGATCTATTATGCAAAAGAAATTCTGATTTTTTAACAGCAGACCCCAGCTAATACAGGGTTTTCCCAGCTTACACAAAAGTGGCCTACTATACTACAGCGTTACCTGGCAAAGGACTGCAGGAACCAACAGTGGCATCTTCTCCTTTGTAGCCTTCCTTGCAGGCGCAAGAGTATCCAATTCTGCTCTCAATACAATTGGCATGTTTATCACACCCCAGCACACATTTCTTTTCATCTGAAAGAGGCATGGAAATAAATTTTACCAAAATATCAATAGTTTCCATCTGACCAGCCTATTTCAGCAATCTATGGGAAATTAAATTTGAACCATCTTTGATGAGCAGAGAATAATCCATGGGTTATCGGCTTATTGCGGAGCTCCGGGGACCATGGTATGTACGATGGCCTGTAAGGGACAAGCAGCAAACAGCAAAGAAACAAGACAAATAAAAAAAAAGAAAACACGAAAACATAAAAGAAACCATGCAAACAAAAAGGAAAACACGCAAACAAAAGAAAAACATGCAAATAAAGAAGAATACACGCAAACAAATAGAAAACACGCAAACAAAAAAGAAACCATGCAAATATCCAAGAAAACGCGCAAACAAAGTAGAAACCATGCAAACAAACAAAAAAACACGCAATAAAAAGAAGGACATCAATAAAAGAAAACACGTAAATAAAAAAGAGGGCCGTGCAAATAAAAAAAGGGTCGGTACTTCATGTAAGCCTAACGTATAATGTCCCGAGAGATACTTGCCATCGCCACATATCATGTTGTCACAAGTACCATGACACTTTAACCATATATTAGATGCCTAGTTACCATTGCGAGAAGTTGCTGTAGTTGCAGCTGTAGTATTGATGATGTAGCGTTGATGATGTAACAACACACTATTTTCATCGTGGTTATCCTTATGATGCCATCGTTAGCCTGTTAAAGAAAAGAGAAGGTCTGCAAATGTGTGTACGGACACTTTTAAAAGAGGGCGTCTTAAATCTCTAAGGCTGAGGAGGCAAGTTAATGGTAAGCTAATAAATGATTCTAAACTACAAGAGGAGCCATCCGTGAAGAAATGGATACCCCTGGAAGCTTATCAGGCTATCGTAGTATTTGGCACGCTTTTGATCCTGCTGGTGTAGAAGAAAGGAAATCACGACGGTTAAAGAGACGAACGTTTATATATAAAGGCGCCAACGCCTCGTGGCACATGGATAGTAAGTACCTCTTTTTGTTGAAGTAGGAAATGATCAGAAGGCCATTTTACAGTTTTGTGCTGAGTGACCTATTGTAGCTGAGGAATTGATGAATGGTAACAAGGTCGTAGGTGATACACACCTGACTGCTCTTCTTATGTGCACCTTTTTCGGGCTTTGGCTAAAAGGGTAGGGATTCCATGATTTGAAGTGCACAAAAGTGTAGGGAAATCTTTCATTTAGGTATTTAAATTTAAAACAATTCGACCAGACTAATGACCAGACTGATCTTTAACGACTTCCTTTCTTCTACACCAGCAGGATTGATTTCTGATATGATAGTTGCTGCCACCAGGTCGCGAGGTGCGTGCATGTGATGTCTCAGTCCGAAGCGTGCCAAATACTACGATAGCCTGATAACCTTCCAGGGCCATTGATTTCTTTACGGATGGCTTCTCGTGGTTTAAAATCATCTATTAGCTTACCATTACCTTTCCTCCTCAACCTTAGAGATTTAAAACGCCTCTTTTAAAAGTGTCCGTACACATATTTGCAGACTTTCTCTTTTCTTTAACAGACCAACGATTGCATCATAAGGATAACCACGATGAAAATAGTGTGTGATAACATCATCAGTGCTACCATCACCAATACTACAGCTACAACTACAGCAACTTCTCGCAATCGTAACTAGGCATCTAATATATGGTTAAAGTATCATTTTACTTGTGACAACATATGTGCCGATAGCAAGTATCTCTCGCGACATTATACGTAAGGCTTACATGGTTTATAATTTATTGCGTGTTTTCTTTTTTGTTTGCATGGTTTCTTTTTCATTTGCGTGTTTTATTCTTTATTTGCATGGTTTCTTTTTTATTTGCGTGTCTTCTTCTTTGTTTGCATAGTTTCTTTTTCGTTTGCAGCGTGTCCATTGTAGACAATCGTGGTTTAGCTTGAGATTCTTTTAGGTCCTATTGATTTACCGATTAAGGATGCCCGGCTGAAAACGAAAGTTTACCTTTTACCGTTTTCAAAATAACAATGAAATGATTAATTTTATTACAAAGCTCGCGTCCTAGCCCTATCTAATTCCTATGGAGCCACCATGGATTAAAAACTCTATATTTGCACGGCCGTGCGTATATGAGAAGACCTGTTCCGTTTTGTTCATTAAACTCGGGTTTTTCGTCGCTTGCTTTGGACAATTAGTCTCCTGAAAATAAAAGACAGACTGATTGATTACCAACAAAGAAGCAAATTTTCATTGACAAGTTGAGACTGACGTTCAAACTGGACAGGATCCTATCTCCTGGTCTGGACGATTTCGACATGTTCGCAACCAACCAATAAAAACCTTTTTTAGGAAGTTTGAAAAGCTCCAGAGAAGCTTTCAATGCACTCGGCTAATGACACCTCTAGCAAGCCTTACGTTACTCTCTCGCTCTCCAATCTTCCCACGTGCCTCCATAAATCGATGTACGCACGCTAAACATGAACCAATTCTTACTTATACTGGTAGTTTGTGACTCTGTCTTCCAGTTCTTTCACGTGGGGCGAATTGCGACAACTGAGTTTTAATGATCTTGTTTGTTTGCGTATGGGAGCTCTGCTTTTAGGTTTACCCAAATCTATATTAACTCACCTGGAGTAACGACCATATCAGTATCTACTCGGAAATACCAAAGCCCACGTAATCCAGTATTGCTTGCTTCATGAACTCTTAGAACATCGGGCGAACTTGAACCTTTCATAAAGAAGGTTGAACCATCATCCTTGATGAGTCCAACACGAGCATTGCCACCACCTCCATGCCTGTCTCCAGTAGTCCACTGCATCATGTCATTGGCATATACGTAGATTGCAAAGGTTCTATTACCGTCAGTAGCCAGCGCTAACTCAAATGTATTGGTCTGAAATGAAATGAAACACGCAATGGAAATTGTAATTTTAATTAATCATGGTGTTTTACACATAAAAGAATTTTTTCTTTTTAATTAACAGTTATATCTTGTGATCAAAAGAGACTTTCTAAAGTGAAGACATGCAAAAATTAAGAAAATATTTATTGCTCGACGTTTCGGTGTCATCATGGCACTATTATCAACAGTAAACTAGTTATAGCTATCGCTAAGTGCCAACGAGCAAAGATTTTACTTGTACGCGCGCACTGTTGAATTTGTTTAGAAATGTCATGAAATACGGTAAGTGATGAAAAATAGATTGAACTTAATTCGATTGCACTGAAAATAGTGCAAATTTAAGGCAAGGGGCACACATACACCAACCCACGGCCGGGTCAGTACCTCACGCATGCACACAGCCATATCACGCGGGCAGTGGCAGCCACAGACAGCTGTTTCGCCCTCATTGAAGCCCACCAGCGTGGCACCGCCGTTGGGAAAACCCGCGTCTCAAAAACCCCATACTGCTGAGGTGAGTGCAAAGCAGTCTATCAAGCGCCAGCTCCACACAACACATGCGGGAGCTGTTGGCTGGGAGCCGCACAGCAGTTCTACCACGACATGCGCGGGAAAGGTGGATCAAGCGTTACCAAGTAAATTAAAGCAAGGGGCACACATACACCAACCCACGAAAACCACGGCCTGGCCATTACCTCACGCATGCGCACAGCCATATCAGGCTGGCAGTGGCAGCCATGGACAGCTGTTTCGCCCTAGTTGGAGCTCATCTTCATGGCATAGCCGAAACCGAAGAGAACATGACGCACGGTAATAGCTGGTGCAAGAGAAGAGGACAGAAAGAGTAGTGACTGAATCCAATCAGACCTCTTTGGACCAGGGGACAGTGGAAGAACAAAGGCTCCAGAGTCTCATCACAGTGACCACAGAGACAATCCGGAGGGACATTCAATCCGAAAGAAACAAGACGGTGAGCAGTGTACAAAACGCCGTGGACAACTTTCCAACAAAGATCAATGGGTTTCCTGTCGAGAGGCATGAAAAACAAGGTCCTCCAGGTAGAATCCCAGTCTAAGTGACCATAATTTTGAACTAAACATTATCACACAGTGGGGTTGCGCAGCATTCAAAGACAAGAGAAGCTGATAGCAGGATTTGCAGGTCAAGGAGTCGGCCCTTAGTAACGCGGTGTCAGCAGAACCAACAATCAGGCCAGCCTGAGACGAGGAGCCTTGAAGCACAGTCCAAGCACGCAAAAGCACGCGATAAAAAGCTGGAAGGCCCGAAGCTACCAAGAGGAAAAGAGATGGGGTAGCAAGCACAGCTTGGGGGTCAACCCCAAAACGGTCTAAAAACCAAAAGGTCATCATGTGAGCCCACACATTCGGGGCAGTAGCATAACGACGGACCCACTGAGCCAAAAGCGCATGAAACCTTGTAACGGAAGGACACTGAACTAAATCTCTGGCAACCAAGTCACGTTTGCCGCTCCAGAAGAAAGAAAAGATAAGAGTATTGAGCTCGGATGCAACCCAATCAGGCATAGAAATAAGGGACGCTATGTACCACACTCTAGAGAGAGCCAGAGCATTGACAGTTAGGGCTTTGCCAGAGTATTATAGAGATCGGACACGCCAAGAATTTAGACATTTCTCGAAGGCGTTAATTCGAGGCCGCCAGTTTTCCTCCTCCAGGTTGTCATTCCCAAGATAAACACCCACAACCTTTAAAAAGGCACTGGTCCATTTGATGGGAACAGGTGCATCTAAACGGCCACGCCACGAACCCAACCAAACACCCTCACATTTACCAAGATTAAGCTTGGCACCAGTGCCTTTTTCGAAACGGCCATAAACCGAGAAGATCGCTCTAGTGGCGCGATCAGAGTACGAAACGGCGGACGTGTCATCAGCATACAAGGACAGTACAGGGAAGGGAGAAGAAAGACCAGGTAGGCGCAGACCAGTAATATCAGGATGACAGCGGACGTTAGCAGCCAGCACTTTCATGGAGAGAACATTTAGAAGGGGGGACAAGGACAGCCTTGAAGCACCCCACGGGAAGGCTTGAAAGGGCGAGAGGTGTAGCCATTGACAAGGACGGAGCTGCGAACGTCAGTGTAAAGAAGCCTGACCCACTGGATAAAGTTGCCACCAAAGCCCATTTTAGCTAGGGCGGCGAAAAGGAAAGGCCAGTCAACACGGTCGAAAGCCTTCTCCTGATCCAGAGAAAGGAGAGCTACTGGCAGGTTGTACTCCACGAAACGCGTACGTCGAGCAGTAAATCTTTACTTAATTTTTGTCGACTATATCTTCAGTCAATAAATGGCAATGGTTACTACGAGCGGTGCAAACTTTTACTCAGCGAATTCTACTTTCTCCGATTCAAAGGTTAACTTTACCTTGTCTGAATTCTTTTTATAGTAGCCAACGCCAATCCAAAAGACTAAGACAGCTGATGTGATATTCACTGGCGCAAGGTCTGGAAATACACTGTTAGTAACGCTTGAGATCACTGAGGTGACTGAATCATCTCTTGTTTCACGCCAGGACACGTACCCAGCACCTTCAGTATCAACGTCAGCTTCGAATGGCAAGAATCGAACACTGGTATTCTCCCCAGCAGCTGTCAAGCTAACCCATCCATCGGTTCCAATCTACATGATAATTAATATCAAAGTGATCTGTGAGCCAACTTGTGAATTGCCTTTGCGTTTCACAAGTGAGTAAAAATTAAATTGAGATATAAAACGTTGCTTTAACTTCTGAGTCTTTGGATGAAGTAATACGGTCTTACCATTTAAATACAGCCACTTATGCGTGTATTTTTGCATGTTACCATTGATTTTTCTGTATTTTCCACAATGAAATTTAGAATTTTCCTTTAATTTTCATATTGCTCAGTATTAGGAGTGAAAGGATGAAATTTGTCTTCCATTTAAACTTAAAAAAAAATTCACATTAATATCGTTTACAAGAAGTCTTAGACCCGTTTCAAACGTCGTGCTACTGCCGTGCTAGGCTGGCTTGACTCTAGGACGACTGTAGTCGCAAGACTTGGTTTTAAACATCGAATTTAAATCAGTCGAAAGAATGAACAAAAAAATTAATAAATAAACAGAAATATAAAATACTTTCTAAACTACAGTGGAACCCTGCTAATTCGAACTCCCAAGGGAAGCAACGAATGACTTAGCAGCGATTAAACTTTACTGAAAACTGGACCAAAGGGAAAGTAAATTAGTTTATGTTTTTAGCAGGGAATTGCATTTAACCGAGTTCGAATTACAGGAGTTCTACTGTAATCATGAATTATGAATTGAGTTTGGCACGGCAGTGGCACGACGTTTGAAACAGGCATTGCTCTTTAAGAGCGGCCGTCCGTAAACATCGCCGGGGGGTGTGCAAAATGAAAAAATCGAAAATCCGCTAACTTTGTCAGAATATAGATCTAGGTAAACTATCTCTAGAAAAAGAACTTTTAGTTCGATTGGATTTTTATTTTACGCATACGGCGACCGAGTCGGTTCGGACGCTCTCAGATCAGTTTTCACGGGTTCGAGACCATCTATTACTTAAAAATCGTTTAAAAATTAAAGAAGTAAAAAAATCTGCCTCTGAAAATCTTAATAGAAAGAACACAACTTAACCAATAGTTTCGATGTAAAATTTTCCTATTCGACAGCAAATCTAATATTTTTCGAATTTTTAATAATTTTCCTTATTTTACCGATTTTTGACAGACATAAAATTGGCAAATTTCAGACACAAAAATCACTACTTGGTATACGGCTTTGAGTCATAACTTACATACCGATAGAAAGAGCAAGGTGTCTTCCTCAAATAAATGCGATAAAATTTTTGGGTAATCCTGCAGGGAAAATTTTTGAACACCAAACAAAAGCGACCCTTGAGGACAAAACACGCCATTTTGTCACGACATTCGAAGGGCAAAACAACGATACTCCCGGTTAACAAGATACTTATGCTTTTTTACGCATGGAACTCTTTCCATCTGCCGAGACAATTCGTTTTTAAGCAGCTATATGCCTTGTTCTGCGCATTTTGTTGGGAACCGTTTGCTAACAAATGACATTTTGCGTCTCGCAATATCTATACTCTTCTGAAGTAAATGGTCGAAAGCCCATTGAAACGTCATAGCTTTTCAGAACTCAAAATAATTCACGCAATTCAACGTGGAATTGTAACTTTCTTAATATGATACTAAGATACCCTATTTATACACCTACCAGTTTTTTAAAGCCTATCAAAGATATGCAACATCATACTGTCTTCCCATCCTGTGCCAAATACTTGTATATCACCGAGCGGGAATGACACGAACACAGAACAGGAAGTGCAATGCACTTCAAACCGGAAGCTGATTGAACAATATTAAATAGGCCTAGACAGTCATTCAAACCTATCCCAGCCTGAAACTATCCCGTCTTAGGACGTCTCGTTTTTTCTCTTTATATTTTAGCTGATTAGATCTTTTTTTCTGGAGATGCAACGTTGACAACCAGCAGGATCTTCGTCTACGGCTTCTGTGACATTTATCTTTTACAATTGTAAACAACAATCTTTAAAAAGGCCCTAACTTATCACTAGTTAAAATATGAGAGAAAATAAACTGAATTGACTGATTGAACACACTATGACAACCTTCCACTCCTGGTTTAAGAAATAAACTGCGGAAGCCGTGGACTAAGACCTGCGTGCTGTTCGCCATCGTTTGATCTGTAGAAAAAAATCTAATCAGCTAAAATATCGAGAAAATAAAACTGAGACGTCCTAAGACTACTGCAACGTGTATCACTCGAGTACACAACGCCGTCAGCTCCTGCAAGATTGGCAGGAAGCTTTGTCGCTAATAGTAAAAACTGTTTGAATGCAGAGGTCCAAGCAACGCGTAAATATAACTGACTGGTTCCTAGTTCCTAGTTTGCTATGATGTTGTCATCCACAAACTGAAAATCTTAAGGTCTTCCAGTGAGAGAGCATTCGGCCTTAATCCTTGAACCTGAAACGGACAGCAAATGTACGTACTGGTGTACCAAATTTGGAATAGGATACTCATCCATTATGGAAATGTAGTCACATCTGGGACCATAGGGTTAGGTGTTAGGATTTCATATTTGGAATCTATCAACATATGAGACCCAACCGATCAAAACGCAGGAAATTTTTTTAGTGAAATTCCTTGTGAATTTCCAAAGAAAACGTGTTGAAATAAAAGTGAAAATATGCCAAAAATGTGCTAACTTTGAGAGTGGCTCACTCTCCCAAAAGCGGCTCAGAATCGAAAAAGTGGCTCAAAATCGTTCAAGTTGCTAAAAGGTTATCGAGCAAAATCTGTCTAGGCCTAGATTTAAATTTAGCTGAAACTTTGTTTTTCTTTCGGTTGTTACACTCAGCGTCAGTGTAAGACATCTATAACCCCAATTTCACACCCTGACTCCCTGCCCCACCCTACCTCCGCACGCGCACAAGCTGTGAGACACAATCCCTCGTTTGCTTGGATGCCAGGAGAGTTAGCAGTAAGGCCATTCAACTACTCAGTCCCAAAAGGATAAATTTGCTTATCAGCTTATCATATTTCTGTTATTACGCAATGAAATTGGAAGAATACTGTGCTGGGGAATGTTAGAAGAGAGGAGGTGGACATGTTTAAAATCTCAGAAATTAGTTACAAGCCGCACGATTTTACGCGTTCATCGATCAGTTTCACTGAAATATCTTCGTTTTCTAGATCAGCGTATCAAAGGCAACATTGGCACGCTCAACGACACGGGGTACCGAACAAAGTTTTATACGGGGAGTCACTGCCCCAGGAATGAACCCATTACAGATTTATATACCATTTTTAACTGAAAAGTTGTCCTCTTTCGTGTACTTTCCATTCAAAAATGGCGTCCCTTAAAAGTCGCTTTCGTTTGCATCCCTTCAAACTGCTTTGAATACACTGTCCCTCTCTTTTTTCTTTTTTTAATTTTTAAACTGTATGAATAGATAAAAAACCAAGGTATTTTCTTTGCATTTTGTTTTTTAATCCTTCCTTTTGGGTCCTTTTCTCAACCTTTCATATATACTTTTAATATTAAAATCACTACCCTCCAATATACCTGAAACCTTAGCTACCCTTTTCGGGCGGAGCCAGTTGCCGTATACGCTATTATCATAGAGAGTTCCCCGGGCGCTCAGGTAAACTTACCAAAAGGCTGTGCTTCTCCTCGAGAAACTGATATTTTCTCTAATGTAAGTCCGGACGCTGAAAGGTGTTTATATACGTATCCTTGAACTGGACAAAAAGGAGCTGGCTTTTGGGGGCTTTGCGTTGGGCATACCCCCGGGGACCTCGGGGCATACCGACAACTCCGATTGCTGGCTGTGCGTAAGTCTTTCAAATAAATCCCAGTTTTCTATGCATTTGGAGCTTAGGGAGTTTTGATCATCGAAACGATGAATTATATTTGCCCAATATTTCGGTCTGCAGCACAAACCTTCAACGGGGGCATAAAAAAGAACAAAAAATGAATACAGATGCAAGATGAATTCGAACGTTAGGTTACACATGCGAGATTTGAATACATAGTACACAGAAAATGATAGGCCACTAAAAAGATAAATGTCACTTACTGAGTTGATTTATACCACGGGGTTCTAATGCCATTTTATTTTTGTTTTCTTTCTTTCTTTTTTTTGTCACTCCTCCTGCCGTAAGGATCAGTCTACTGTTTACTGAAGATATTACTGATCCAGGCCTACTAAAGATCCCGCTGACTCTCACTAGTTTGTCATCGTGGTTTTGCCTTCACAAGTGTTTCTGGTACTACCTGGGGCAGGAATTTCATCCCACAGTCTTGCGTAATTAATATTAAGTATTTCGCCAGGTTGTTCTTCGATGTTTGTACCAAATAGATGGGAAATTTATACCTCCTCCCCTCCAAATAAGGATGGGAAAATGGTGCATTTCAATTTGGCTTTTGCGCGGTTTCATCTATGATTTTTTTGGGGGACGGGGGGTGGGGGGAGGTTGCTGTTTCAGTTTTTCATGATTCTGTCTAAGATTGTAGGTCCATGGGGTCTTCCTTTAATCTGATGATCTTTTGGCTTAAAATAAGCATGCAAGGATCAGCAGACGAGATGTCCCAAAATAATATATAACGCATGTGGCATAATTTTTTGTTTCTCAAAAGTTTCGTACTCAGTTCGTCGTACTTTCAACCAGCCAACTGACATATCTTTTTCACTTTTAGATTTTAGTCCTAGGAAGAATTTAGTGCATTGTGCAGGACAAATCTTACTTTTTCCTGTTACACCAGAACCTTTCAGACACAGTGCTGCTGACATTCCCCTCCCCCTTCCGCTGAAGCATCACCCTACCAAAGGACAAAAGTGAGTAACGCATTCTCCTTCCCGCTCCGAGCAGGTACGGTGTTGTGAGGAGACCGCAATAGCTGGTTATATATATCCAAAACATCTTCATTTCCTAAAAGATAAGTATTATATTTAGTCTTTATACATCGTATGTGAGCCAACGTCGGTAAATTTGTTCTTTTATGTGCATGAATCCAGTTGGTAGTAAGTTTTGAAACACGTGATCCGAATGCTGTCAAACATTGACCGCCGGTTAAAATTAGGCTTTAGACTGCCA